TAATCACAAGTATCATGTACAACAGCAGTGTGACTGTGAGGCAACACTTGCCCCAAAACATGTGACCAACTTTTGTCTTCTGTCCCTCATACGTATCATGTGCAACGTGTATCCTGCGTAAGAAGCAGTGTGGCTGTGAGGCAAAATCCCCAAAATTGATCAACTTCTGTGTCTCATGTTTCCCATACGTATCTTGGGCAATATGCATATCCACCGCATGTGAAGCACAATTTGCATCAAAAATGTGACCAACTTCTCTGTCTCATGGTCAACATACATATCATTTGCAATATGTGTGTAACCATAGTATGTGAGCCATTGCCCAAAACATGTGAGCAACTTTTGTTTGTCTGGTATACGCCTCTGCGACATGTGTTACACGGGTCTGCATACGTATCATGGGCACTGTGTATGAGACCCACCATCTAGATTTTTGGTCTCCAGAGAAAAACAAATAGGATATCAATGAGTTCTCGGGGTACCAAAAACTGTGATATCAGTATGCCTGGCTTTGTCGCATGTGCGGCGGCGGACTTCACAGGCCGTTACTGGCCGTCTTCGGGCCCTCACAGGCAGTCTGCGCCTCGCCGAGGGCTTTCCCCGAAACCATCATCATTACCCCCATCCTCACCATCATCACCACCACCATCATCATCACCTCCCTCATAGGCACTTTGGCTCAAGAGGGGGGTATTCTTGGCCACGTATAGCCTTGGCATGGAGTCCGCGGGGTATCTCTTCTTGCTGTCTTTCGTATTACTGCGTTTTACCAGAGGGCAGGCTGGAGTACCTGTCGTATGCGACTACATTTTGGATCAGTGGAGTGTATTCGTGCACGACTTCGATGCTTTCTGTTTGGGACTCGTCCGTCACTGCGACGCAGTATGCAAAGAAAAAGGGTGCTCGTATTTAGCCCATCGAGAAGGCTTGCATACTCAGTATTCCGGCTTGCACTTTATCCGTACACTTCGCAGGGTTCGTATACGACGGCGTCTTGTCGCATTTGCGGAGAAGTGGGCGCACTTAGCATCGGGGCTTCAGCGTCCCCGTGGCGACGGTATCCCCAGCGCGGACATCATGGCCATGGGGGACAGTATCCCGGACTACGTGGCCGTGGCCGTGCAGAAGAACAAGGTGAAGATGGCCGGTAAGTATAACAGCATGGACTGTATGAGGTGTTTTATGCACATGGTTGAGTATTGCATGGGCTTCACGCCTACGGAGTATACCGAGGAGCTGCATCAGTGGTTTCTGAAGCGGCAGTGTCGGAAGTGGGCACGCCATGCTGCTGCGGAGCTCGCGTATTTTGGCCTGGTTTCCTGCGACACAATGACCACAGCATTGGGTCGTATGCGGAAGGCTCTCAACAGCACGTCTCAAGTGAGCGTCGCGACCATGTATGTATTGTTCTGCGAGACGCGGCAGGCTATCAACAGGTATTCGTTGCATGGTGTTTTGTATCTCATTGACGCGTATGACAAGAGCAAGTCTGTGCGGGCAAACGTTTCGCGTGTCCGGCCTGGGCTAGTATCGACGCGTTGTCACACAATTCAGCTTTTGGAGGCGATCCGCAGCTGTGTGGGAGTATCGCTTGCTGTGCTGCGGACCTCGGGAGGTGGCGTATCAGACGGCGGACCTTGCGAGGTGGCGTATCAGCTCGGTCGGTGCCGTCTGTGTCCCAAGGTAGAATGTGACGGTATTCCAGAGCTCCGTGTGCTTGCGAGTTGTCTCAGCGTATTGACACAGAAGGTGCAGACGTATGCGAGGCAGCCTTCGCAGCAGTACCGCGGCTTGGTCAAGGCCGCCAAAGGTCTGGGTATCAAGTACGGGAAGTCGCATACGGTGAAGAAGCTCGCTCTGCTGGTGAAGCGAGGTATGCTGCAGCCTTCAGGCACCGGTGCGTGCAAACGGACGTACCGGGAGCTGGTATCCGCAGCGCACGCTCGCGGCGCCAGCGAGTATCAAAGAATTAAAGTGCAGGGAAGGTGGATCACCAGACGTGTATCCAAAGCCACGTTGGAAGCGCTGGTGGCTGAGCCCTAGGGGCGGTGCTCATTTGTATAGGGTCTTGTGGCAGACTTTGGGGTCAAGCAGAGCTGTATGAAAGAAGAGCCACCAGTAATGACATAACGTGCATCGAGAATCATGGGTATGGCAACGGCGACGGAGGCGGCGGCGGCGACGGCGAGGGTGACGGCGGCGACGGCGACGGCGACGGCGACGGCGACGGTGACGTATCGTCCTCAGCCTCAGCACCAGCCTGCCTCAGCGTCGGCCTCAGCCTGTCTCAGCCTCAGCCTGCATCAGCTCAGCGTGTCCCAGCCTCAGCCTGCTCCAGCTTCAGCTTCACCCTCAGCCTCGGCCTCAGCTTGCGTGAGCCTCTTTTGCTCTCATGTCTATCATACGTTTCATGTGCTATACGTATCATACATGACACGGGGATGTGTGTCAAAACGTGCCCCAGAAATGTGACCAACTCTTGGTGTGTATGTGTCCCATGGCTAGCAGACGTATCATGTGCAATATGTATCATGTGCAACGCGGCTCACGTGTTTTTCCGAGGGCTCTCCCACGGAATCGCCAGACCCATCTGGGGATCTTGGGAGGGCCTCCCAGGGCCCTGTGGTTATGTATTCTCTTTAGGCCTTCGGCCCCAGTCGCCAGAGCTCTCTGGGTATCTGGGGGGGTCCCAGGGCCCGATTGTCTTAGTGTCTGTGACCCGATTCCCAGGGGAAGTTTATGAGGGCGTCTGGGGGGTTCCCAGGGGAAGTCTATGAGGCCTGTGGATTCAAATGAAAAGATGAAGTGAGTATGTCTGCTCTGGCCGCATGTGCGGCGGCGGACTTCGTCTTGCCGACGGCGCTCGCATGAGTGTTCTGCGTGTACGGTCGTATGGACTTTGGCATTTGGGCACATGTATGCGGTTCGTTTCTGTTTGTACGTAGCGGTTTCTGCTCAAGCCGCTTACTGTATATCGCGAGATCGCATTCACTTCCATATTGCCGGCCTTCCGTATGGCTTCCCAGATGGCCGGTCGGCTCGACCCCGTGACGGGCGAGTATTACCCAAGCGATGATGAAGTGCGCTACAGTATGGAGCGCTGGCACACGCCACCCAACGACGAGGCGTATGCGCGGCAATGGCTCAAGCAGTGTGGCTCGGAGAGGTGGTTCGCGTGCGGTATCTTCTTCCCTATTGTGTGGGAGGGTGTCAAGGGCGTATGCCTCGCCGTATCGAGCGGTATGTCCACGAGGCAGTCGAAGACGAACAACGACCCGAACTACCAGCACAGTATGGGGGGCATCCCCGAGCCGGAGTGGGTATACTTCGACGCCTTCTTCTACGCGCACGCGGTATTCGGGAATTTCTCGGTATTCCAGGATGAGAGGCTTGGGAAGCCCATTGGCTTCCTTCTGCACGTATTCGACACGCTATGCACCGGGCGAGGTATCGTCGCCTGGAAAGCCAACCTCTTCGTCCACCCGGGCCAGTGGGTGTATAGCAGTATGCGGTATTTGCTCGGTCAGCTCGGTATTCCCATTCATGCGGAGATCGTATCCGGCCTCTCCTACAGGGCCCTCGCCACCTTGGACGTATTCATTGCGTATCACGCGGCCTTCATGGGTACGGACCCGCAGAAAATGGCCAATTGGAACGTATCCCCTGAGGTCGGCCCAGAGATGAAGTATCCGCGTCAAGACCAGTGGTGGTGGTTGCCCGTATGGCGGTCTTTTGGTCAGAGCGACGAGTATCCGAACATGCTCGATTACCCGCTCTTGCCGGCGCATGTCGTGGCCGCGTTCGCACTGCCGTATGCGAGCCCCGGCTCTCCCGCCAACAGGCGTATCGGCAATATCATTGGCCATTTGGGAGCGCACGGGTATCAGCTCGGCCCGCACCTGCATCAGCCAGGCAGCCGTGTACCCAAGCGTATTCGCGACGTCGCAGAGGACGAGTCGCCTTAGTATGCTTCGTGTATATTCATAGTGTGACTGGACCTGTTTGCGAAAGCAGGAGAAAGTATGAGCATTGCATGCGTCATCCTTGGGACTGTATAACAGCAGAAACAGACAACATTGCATCGCAGACGGACAGCCATCGGGACAACCATCGGGACAACCATCGGGACAACCATTTGGACCAGCAGCGGGAAAACGATCGGGACAACCATAACCATCAGGACAACCATCGGGGCAACCATCGAGACAACCATCGGGACAACGATATCTTCTCTCTTGTGTCCTCCCACATCCCTCAGGAAGTTGCCCTAAAGATGTGACCGACTCCTCTCTCTCCTTCTCTATGTCTCTCGCTCTTTCTCTGCTTCATATCTATCATATGAACACATCTATCTCGCTCTTTCTCTGCTTCATCGCCTTCCCAGGAAATTGCCCCAAAAATGTGACCAACTATCTTGGCAGTGCGTACCATCTCATGTGTACCGTGTACCACATCTTCTCAGGTTGCCTCACACATGTGACGAATCTCTTTCTATCTCTCTCTCCTCTGGCTCTCTGTCTTGCTCTCTCTCTCTCTCTGTCTCTCTGTCTTGCTCTCTCTCTCTCTGTCTTGCTCTCTCTCTATGTCATGCGCAACAAATGCACGATGCGGGGCACATGCGGGGCCCAAACAAGTGATCAACCTCTGCGGGTGTGTACTCCACGCCAGTGTAGTATCCACGATCGTCCGCGCGCCACGAAGTGAAGTGTCCTGCCGTCATAGGGCGGGAAGCTGGGTGTGGGTGGTTCCCGAGAGTCGTGTGGATGTTTGGTAGAGCTTGCATTGCCCCCCCACGAAGTGGGGGTATTGGCTGGCGTCGCATGAAAACCCTGGCACTGGGGAGAACACTGAGCGTTCGGGTAAAATGATTGTTGTTGTTGTTGTTGTTGTTGTTGAACATTATTTATTCTAAAGAATAATTATTGTTGGGCCCCCTGGTGCGCGCCCCCCCTGCGCCTCCTAGGCCGCAGCTACATTTTCATCATTTTCGTGAGGAAGCCTCAGAAAAGAGGGTGTGTACAGGATCCGGTTGTTTTGTTGTAAACCGCTTTCCCTTGCAAAAAACAATAGAAAATGACATTTCTTGTTCTAATATAATCAAATTTCAAGAATCCCTTGCAAAAAATAAGGTAAAGTGGACATTCGCGCGCGCAAAACGAAATCCTTCCAAAACCTTAGTGTTCGCAGCGATTTTAACATAAAAACATCAAAAAACCAATGGTTTTTCAACAAAAAATTGTCAAAATCTCATCACGCGCGCTCTTGCGGATTCGTAGGAAACCCAACACTTTTTAAACATTTCTGTCAAACGGGCTTTTGCGAGCAACTTTTTCGAACTTCTGCGACAACGGTTGCGCACCTGCCAGGGCCATCATCCCTGTCAAATAATACATGCGGGACACATTCGTTTTTTCTTCGCGCGCGCACGCCGTCGTCGTCGGCCGCGGGCCCTGAATAGTAGCCACGGTCGTCCGCATGCCACGAAGTGAAGTGTCCGAACGTCATAGGGCGGGAAGCTGGGTGTGGGTGGTGGCGAAGAGTCGTTTGGAGATTTGGTAGAGCTTGAACCGGCCCCCCCACAAAGTGGGGGTATTGCCCGCCTCCTATGAAAACCCTGGCGCTGGTGAGAACGGAGTGTCCCCAGTCTTAAATGATTGTTGTTGTTGTTGTTGTTGTTGTTGTTGTTGACTTCTCACTTCTAAAGAATAATTGTTGTTGATCCCCCCCTGCCCGGTAACCATTGCATTTGTTCAGTTCAGAGTGCTTATCCCTGGGCTCGCACCTTGTTTTTGCTTCAAAGGGAACGTGAAGTGTCACCAAACTGGTCCCCTGGCCCCGGGTTAAAACAACAGCGGCGTCCGCCTGATACTTCCTCACAGTGTCTTCCAAGCTTGCGTTTTCGCGCGGGACTTCCTCACAAGTTATGCAGGAATCGCGCTCTCGCTTGGGACTTCTTCGTGATGTATTTAGACGCCGCGCCCTCGACGCTCAGGAATCACGCTCTCGCTGTGGATTTTCTGATGTTTTCTTTGGTAATCGCGCTATCGCTCGAGATTTCCTCGTGGTTCATGCAGGACGCACGCTTCAGCAACCCACCTGCCCCTTGTCCCTTCCTTCCATCCGTTCTCCTTTCCCCTGCCTTAGGTGCTGCTCGAAATACACGTTGCAGGTAAGAAACACATACCCCTAATGGGGGTATGATCGAAGATGAAGGGGGCGGGTATCGAGGGTTTGGGATATACGTGTTGGATGGCACGCGTGCAGATCGGAGCGAACAGTCTTAACATGATTGTTGCTGTTGATGATGTTGTTGTTGATGGTGTTGTTGTTGCTGCTGTTGTTATTGCTGTTGCTGTTGTTGTTGCTGCTGCTGTTGCTGCTGTTGTTGTGGTTGTTGTGGTTGTTGTGGTCGTTGTTGTTGTTGTTGTTGTTGTTGTTGTTGTTGTTGTTGTTGTTGTTGAACGTTCATTTCGAACGAGCTTGTGTTTTTCAATTCAATGTGCTTCTCCCAGGGCTCGCGCCTTGGTTTTGATTCAAAGGGAACGTGAAGTGTCACCAAACTTGTCCCATGGCCCCCGGTTCACAACAACAGCGGCGTCCGCCTGACACGTCCTCACAGTGTCGTCCAAGCTCGCGTTCTCGCGCGGGACTTCCTCACACATTATGCAGGAGTCACGCTCTCGCGTGGGGCTTCGTCGCATTTTATTCAGACGCCGCGCCCTCCACAATCAGGAATCACGCTCTCGCTGTAGGTTTTCAAATGTTTTCTTTGGGAATCGCGCTGTCGCTCGAGACTTTCTTTGCAAGTTATGCAGGACGCACTCTTCAGCAACCTGCCTGCTCGACCTGGCCTCCTGAGCCCTCCTTCCCGACCCGCCTGTTAAGGTCTACCCACCCGATCTGCCCGTCTGGTTCTGCCACGTGCTTTCTGCTCCTAGCCCCCTCCTGCTACTCTCTTTCGTGCTCCATCCTCCTCCCTCACTCTTTACCCTTTCTTCCATACGTCCTCTCTTCCCTTGCCCTGGGGGCTGCACGAAATACAC